ATAAATATATGAATAATTCATTAACACCACTCACATTTTATTACATGCCAAGCTAAAAAAAAACAAAAAACCGAACAGCAGCCAATTAGATTGCTGCCCTACTTCTACACCATTGCTATCACTTCACATAAGCCTAACAGATTATTAATAATGCACACGTAGTCAGGCTTGCTTATACAGTCATGATTAAGAATGCTTTTTTTTTTTTTTTGGTGGGGGGGGGGGGGAGACATTAGCCATTACTCTACTTCAGACTCATTGCCATCACAAATGTAACTGTCTGAATCAACTCTGTCCAACCATTCTAGCATTACGGCCAAACTCTGCTGTCCTCACTTGCAGTTGTGCCAATAAACTTCCTTTTTGAACTTCCATCCTCTTTGATAGTAGTGTTATCTTATCCCTTTGCCGCAGCTATTATGGTAGCAAAAGATGGGAATAATTCAGGGTGGTACAACAAAAAGCAGGGTTCCTGGGCCTATTGTGATGCCATTTCTGATTCACATTTATGCCATTTCATCTTTGTGCAAACCCACTTCACTTCCTGATTACTTACTTACTTCTCCATTTTATTTTTGGAGGTATGAACATTCAGCTGAAAAGCAAAAGTAGCTTTATTTTAAAGAAAAACCACTGACTTTGGGCACTGGAAAATACCATCTCTCCCTTATTACATACTCAACTGCATTGTTCACTGCATCACAGAGCATTCACTTTCAGGGGAATGTTATACTGTAGTTAGGTACTGACTAACTTCAATGTTGGGAGCAGAATTAGGGGATATATACAGTCAAATGTACTGATTTTGAGTTCAAAGAAAAGATTGTGGTTCCAGTCCTAACTGAAAGTGTAGACTCCAAGAAAAACGGTTCTAGAGGAAAAGAATGACTATACTTGTACAGATATCCGTATTTGTGGCAACATACAGAAACAGTTAACTGATCTGTCTATGGAGATTCTCAGTCATCCAGGTCATGGTTGTCCCAAGGATGCTTTTTTCAAGAGGCAACTGGACTTTCTGGTTTTTCTTTGAAGACATTTTGCTTTTGATGAGAAGTGAAACATCTTCAAAGAAAAATCAGAAGGTCCAGTTGCCTCTTGAAAAAAGCATATTTGGGACAGTTTAAGAGATCTATTTAGAGAAAAAGAAACAAACAGGGATGGAGGCTGTGAAACTGCACATATATTACTGTGATTCAATCCTATTGCTTTTGGTGTGTGTGTATATCTGTCTAACAAATACAAAATGATAATGATAACAAATAACTGGATTACAAACTAAGCAAGGCCAGTGCTGTGTGGTAAAGGTACTGCTTAGCCTTTAAATGGGGGAATAATAGTTGTATGATTTGGGGGGGGGGTGAAGCTCTCATATTATTTTTATTAGCATTAGTGAAATATTTATGAAAGTAATACAGGAGTGAGTTTACAATGAGAAAAAGCTGCATATCGGTTCTATGTACAATGTATAAAAGTATAAAACAACAGATTTTTCATAGTAGTTCTGGTTACCAACTTTATAATTTGCATGCCTTCTGCTAACCAACCATGTACAGACATATCACATGTGAACAATGCTGCAATTGTGATTGCCAAAATCATGAACAAATGTATAATAAAACATTTCTATCCAGTTCTGAATGTGGCTGATGCCTAGACAACTAACTATTCCAGAACTGCCTGTATTTAATATCTCATTAAATCCCAACAGTGTGGTGACTGGAATACAAAGTTTAAATGTGGGGAAGTCAGTCCAAATCCTTGTTCATTTCTTGAATTATGATGCTTAAAATTGGGAGATTTTTTGGTCAAACTGCATTATCTTTTGGGACATCAAAATAATATTTTGAGCTCCTTAGAAAAAAGGAGAGATACAAATAAATAAATTAGGAATGTTCAGATTTGTGTAGTATTAGCAAGCTTTATAAAAGTTCCATCTGAATTAAATAGTTAACATTTACCCAGTTATTTTACCCAGTTTATAAAGAAATTAATTTGATTCTATTTATTTCTATTTATCCTTTATTTATTTCATTTATTTAAACAACATGCATTTCAGAAGTATAATTTTCCATGTTGTCTCCCCCTAATGGTTTCATGGTTTAAGACCACATGTAATAATATAATAATATGAACAAAAATACCAAATCCATTGGCTGACTATGTGACAAACTATTATTATTATTATTATTATTATTATTATTATTATTATTATTATTATTATTATTTATTTATTTATTTTGCAGTTAAATGAATCTGTACCTAGCACTTCAAAAATTTAATTTCTTCACCGTGAAAAGAATTACTCCACATTATCTTTTCTACTTAGTACAAGAAAATAAATAGGTCAACAATATATCCAGTTTTCTACAAGATATAAAAATTTCCTCAGTTTCTGGTCATGATAGATTCTTTTACCTCAGACCTATGGAATCTTTATACATTTTTGCTTTGAAAAGTATATCACTAATAGAAATCAATTTATTTTCGAGTTCACAGCCTTAGGGTGATCATCTAGTCCGACAATTATAAAACATTTAACTACTTTCCTGCCCCACATTTACAGCAGTCCTTGAACAAGTACTCCTTGAATAATACACCTGTGCCTTGCCTCTTAACATGGTGTGTTACTAAAAGCACATTGTTTTCACTCCCTGGAGTAGGGGTACCTTCACAAGTAAGATACTTCAATTTTTAAAATAGTGTCTCTTATGATTCCTATAATGAAAAGTTAATCATTTCTGTTTGGTATTTTCTGAATAACAACTTTTAATTTCAGCTGATCATGGAGGGGGATATGCTCAGTGGCTATTTTGAAAACTATAAATGTCTTAGAAGCAAGATAGCCTTTTGTCAAAAAGAACATCCATCCATCCAGCCTTTTGATGGTATACGTGTGTTAGATTACAACTGTCATTTACAAAAAACTGAAGGTTTTTTCCTATGTATAATTTTCTGGAACATTATAGAAATGTAGATGACTTAAACTGCTGTCAGTACAAAGTCAACTGCCCTCATACTTGTGATTCTGTTCAGAAAAACTTTAAAATTATTGACAGTGACTCTTCGTTCTCCTCTGTTTCCAACTTCTATTAACAGTACAATAGAAGTTCAGGCAATAAAACATATACCTTTAAGATACAATATTATTTAGAATAATTTAGTGGATTTTTATGACTCGTGTTAAATGCTGCATTAATTTTGAAATATCCATTTAGACCAGTGATCTAAATACCATTGGTCCCTACCGCCCACTAGTGGGTGTTCCAGCTTTCATGGTGGGCGATAGGGATTTTGTCCCCTACTTTATAAATCACCATTACTGTTGAACCGGTGGGCGGTTAAAGAAATTTTTTCTACTAACAGAGATACAAAAGTGGGCAGTAGGTATAAAAAGGTTTGACTACCCCTGGTTTAGACACACCACAGACAGCAACAGCCTCAATCTTAACATTTGTGCTTCTTTGTTTACCTTTGAAACAAGTTTAAGAAAGCTATGATTTTAATGGAAAGCCATATGCCCATTAAAAAATTTAAATTAAATTAAGAAAGTAATATACATGGGCATTTGGCGTATCACAAATTTATTGCTAGTAAAATTTTCTATAACAACATCCTTATGGTTCTGTTCTGCACTGAAATGCATCAGAGAAAATGTAACATTGTACAAATTTCTTCATATAAGTTTAAAATGGAATTATTATTATGATCATTTACTATCAAGATAGAAAATCAAGTATAATTAGATAATACAATAAATGGAGATCCATAAAAGTACAAAATAAAAAGAGATTCATACTAATGCTTCCTAATTGTGATTGCTGCTAACAGCCATTGACTATTTTCATGAGTAGACCATCTACTAATAAACATTACATACCACAGGGAGAAAAGAGGGGGGGGAGAGAGAGAGAGAGAGAGAGAACTGAAAGGATAGCAGAATGAGGGTGCTGCATTAGTATAAATATATCCTAGGTCTATGAAAATCTTCTGGACACATGTTTCACTTGCAAGTAGTGGCCCTCTGAATCAGTTCCTCAAAAATTATGTCACTATAGTCACTTGAAGATTGAGTTTTTCTGGCCAGATACATATATGGCCAGTCAAAGCTTCCACTTAGAGAACTTGTGGCTATGAGGAGCAGATCCAGATAGCAAACACACACACACACACACACACACACACACACACACACACACACACACACACCATGCATTTATATATTATACATATTATATATATATATATATATATATATATATATATATATATATATATATATTATATACACATACATACATATACGTATACATATACATATACACACATACATATATAATGCAATTTAACTCACAAACATTAAAAGAGTTAGACTTTATAATTTAAACTACGTTTGAAGCTATTATAGTTTTTATTTTACACAGTCATTGGTATTCAAACACGCCATGCTAAAAACAGAAACTGACTACAACAGGATATTTATTATCTTGCCATCTTAATATCATTTTTAAAGACCGCTTTAACATAAAGAGTCATATTTTGAAGGTTCCATCAAATAAAAGATGCCCGTTTATGTCCTGATCCGGAGGATAAAGCATTGTATGCAACACTACTCAAGCCCCTTTTTTTTGTCAATAGGGCAATTAAAAATATTAAAATATATGAATGCTATTATGAGAACACACCTAAATAAAAGGCATTTTTATCAAAACATTTATTTTAATTGTACTTCCTCTTGAATATATCTGTTTCCAAATTGAAGACTGTATGAAAAGCATAAAGGGATGAATAACATTCTGGATCTTGACTTCATAAACATATCTTTACAAAACCAAGATAAATAAAATAGCTACCAAACAACCAACAAACAAGATTTGACATGTTGAGTCTGAAGAAGCTGATACAGATCTAACATGTCAAAAATTCACACTACACACTAACAGATGCCAGACCCTTAACTAGACATGATAGATCATAATGAGATTTTCCAGTGATCTCCACTAAATTAACAAAAGCAGCCTCAATGTACTGCAAGAGTTCTAGTTTCACCTACATTCTCTGCGTTAAACTATTTCCTTCTACATAGAAGGGCACACATTTTAAACCTCAGGACCATGCATCAGCTCTAAATTAAGTAACAAGAGCAGGAGAAATACAAGGAGCTAGATGTGGAAGCATACAGAAGACAAAAGGCATATTATTTCATTCCTGACAGTCAACTCAATATATGTCTCCTCAGGAGCCAGTTCTATTGAGTTCAATGGAATTTACTCCCAGGTAAGTGTATTCAACACTGGATACGCAGTTGCTTTCTTAAAACTATTCGTATTTAATGGAGTCTACTGAAAATAATGGAAATAGTTTTACAACACTGACTGAGGAACATGCACTAATATAGAGAGCAGTAGAAATAGAAAGTAGGCAGAAACAATTAAAAGTTCAATAGATTTGAATTATAAAACAGATAATTATTAGAACAAGTGCAGTGCAGTGTTTTTCTATCACTAATAATATATGGATAATTAGAAAAACTGAAAAAAGAAGAAACACTGATTTGTTTCAGCTAGATATGAAGAGTATGTATCTATTTAAATAAAGCAATAGACACAATTAAAATGGTTAAATGGTTATGCTAATGAAAAAAGCTAATTAATATAATAAAATATTGTATTGATTTTATCAAAAGTAGAATGTTAGAATGGAATGATATGGAATGATAATTTCTAAAATATTAAGATTAATAGAATAGTGCTATATTCATAGAATAGTTCAATACATTCATGATTTCACTTTTAGAAATATATAAATCTTATAGATTACATATCATCAATGCAATTAACTACTTTAAAAAAATAAAATATTTTGTTTTAAGATTCCTGCTGCAATGTTCACTATTGGCAACTGAACTAATTGAACTATCTCTAGGTGTACGTGTGCATTTATTTAATAAGAACATGTCTGAAGCATTATTTTGATGAATTCTGTAATTAGGAATTCTATTCCTAAAGCATTCTTCTTTGGATATAAGATTCACAATTTATGTTTCAGTGAATATTTCATTTATTTACACGAAACGTGCTTCCATATACAGATTAATTTTCAAGGCTTCATATTTCTTAAGATTATGTTTCTTGTGCGCTTCAAACAATAGAAATGAGGCAATATTCTAAGGAACAAATCAACCATTGTACTGAATATAATTAATATCATAGCCAGCACATGCTCTGGTTGCTTTTTTTCCTTCTTCCTTCTCTAACATTTCTGGCATAAGAATTAGAGAGAAAGACAGAGAGTGAGAGAGAGCTAATACATGCTAAATGAACTCCACAGAATGCTGTACATACTGCTTTGATCATATACAGTAACAACTTCCATATTTAGTTTTGCTTACAAAGTCTCATAAAAACTACTCAGAAATATGTATTCTGTGTATGAGATATCACAAAATTTTACTTTCAGACAATCTCAATGTCTCTGAAGGTAGTTCACGTATCCAACAGATCCCCATTTAGGTCGACAAATAGCAGTGGTTGTGAATTTGGAAGCCCTCCCACAAAAGATTTAATTTAAAATTACAATAAAGGTTAGCCTTAAATTTTAACAGAAACCACACATACCATTTTCCAGCTAGTATTCTTTAGTCATTTCACACTTTGTATAATTTGTATTACAGACAAACTGAAAATTACTATGATTTGTCAGCTTATTTCTTAAATTAAGACCAATCTCATGCACACCTGAAGAAACTCCAACAACATGGGGATGCAACCAATCCCCAAACATTTGTGAATTTCAATTGTAGTGTGTGTTCCTAGAAAGTTTGTGAAAAATATGTTCACACAGCTTTTAGTTATATCTAACTACATTCATATTTTGCGGAAACATCCATTTTCAGGATTTGGTTATTTAAATTTCGAGGCTCAAATTATTGCCTAAAAGTCAGTTCCTAAACAGGTTTATTTAGGCTACAATTTTACATATGCTTGCATAGAGCAATGAACATGGCTTCTTTTCAGATAAACTTGTGCACGTTGCAGATACATACTTGATGAATATATTTACAATTATTCAGTCATTGCATTCAGCTGTTTAGTTAAATGTTTAGTTTCATAATTCTGCCATACTCTAAAATGTACACTTTTACTTAAAAGCTTATTAGCTCCAAGTCCAATCTTCTTAACTGGGGTGTTTAAGTCTGGAACTTCAGTCTAAAAATAAGTTTCATCAGACAACTTGCCTTAAGCTGACTGACATCATTACCCCAAACCAAAAGTATAACATGGGAATGCGTGTTGTATTGATTTCAGTGAGATGTACATTGAAGCCATGTGTTTATGAACAGGCTGTAAAGCTCTTTTGTCTTTTCCAGTAACCTGCTACCAAGAGGAAAATTAAATATTATTCCTCCACAGAAGAATGTTTGCAATCTATGTAAAGCTTTTGTGTCTTCTGCTTGTTCTGCTTTTTAATTACTGTAACCTATGTATTTCAATTAAATACAAGGATTACTATTATATCTCAAATCCTATATCCCAGTCTTTGACCATCCACACATCAAGGTTGCAAATATTTAAGACTCTTAAAAAATGACTGAGACTCTAGTATCAGTTTACTATCCCTTCAACAATTTCCCTGACAGTGGAATCAAATAATGTTGAATTATAGACCTCCTCACAAGAACTCTTATTTCATTTTTTTTATCATTTCTCTGGTAGCCCCTATAGGAATTTGGCTGGTTGCCAGTTTCTATTTATATTTCTATATACATACTGCATTTGGCTTACATAGGAAAATTAAATGATGATTCTGTCAAAGATTATTATTTTTATATTTGTTAACATTTATTTTACACAAGAAAAATACTGTTGCCTGAATACATTGTATATATGCTCACACACTTTATTTGGATCTGTGCTAGCAATTATTTTATACTGCAGTGTCTTCAAGAAAAACCCTAGTCGATAAAAGCAACTTGCATATACATTATTGAAAGGTAAGTGTCATAATCTTTTACAGCTCACCCAGTGGCACCTGAAAGCTGAGATGAAGCAACTTACAGTGAAGACTCCCTGGGCACTGGTTGAAAGGATAAGAATTACCTATGAAACCAACACCCTCTCTTCTATGATTTACGGGACCACTTTGTTCTGTTTAGTCTGAGACTGTATATCCACATATACATTTTCTTACCAGCAACAAGGAGCACCTTGATGTTCTTAAATGATTATTTATTCTGATAAACATTTTAAGAACTATGTAGATATTTAACTGATTTTGTCAGCGATACAGAGCACTTGCAAAGAAAAAAGTGGCACCGAACTTCATTAAACTTAACACCCAATTAAATATACATTTATTTACATTTACAAACTCAAACTCCAGTTCCTATAAAACAGCTTGTTAATTATAATAACTCAGTTTTGTCTCCTGAAGATATATCAAATGTAGTGATAACCTGTAGAAACTACTATTCTGACACGCTAAAACCTGTAGTTAATTCTGGGAAAGAAACTATTATCATCTATTCTGAACATCCTTCTAGCAGGAAGACTTATATAGAAACATTGTTTAATACTTGGAAGTGATTATTTAAATTATAATACATGGAGCAGCAATAAGTTATAACATTATCCTTAAAAGGACTTATCCTTCTATAAGGATAAGAAGAATTTTACCATGCTCAAAAAAAAATCTAATAAGTAATAGGATTCTCATCACTTGACAGAATGCTACTAATCACCAATTCACAGTGTTTGTTATTGTTTTGTAAACTGTTGCAGTATTTATCTACAGTTCCCCTTCAGGGAAAGTGGAATTTATATGAATGTACAAACTATCAAAATCACTTTTACTAAAAAACAAATCCAAGTGATTTAAAGGAAGCTTGGTTTTTGATCTGCTTAACATAGTTAAATTACCAGTTAGAATTATGTAGCAAAATCCTATCCATATTTTCACAGAAGTAAATACTAATGCAACAAAGTGAGTTAATTGTACAATAAAAGTATTTCAAAACTACAGTTTAACTGTCAACAGTTGCTATGATAGCATAAAATTCTTAGAATAAGATACATTAATACCTATTGGTAAGAAACATTAATAAAACATGTTCTTTTTTAAAAAATGCAATAAAGTATTTAAATGCTTATTAACCAACATCCAAAACAACCAAATCGTAAATATATAATATGGATATAAAAGTTGATATGTACAGGTACTGCTTTAATTGCTACATTGTAACCATAAGAATTTTACCAAATATACATTCCAGGTAATCAGATAAACGATAAAAATATAAATTCTGTAAATTTTCTAATTTTTAAAATATGTAACTAAGAGAAATTTAACATACTGATACCCGTATATAACATTCATTTCAAAACTGGATAGTCAACTTGCATTAAGGGAAACAACCTATTCACGTATTCACAATATAATCTGTGAGCTAATATTAAAGGCTAATCACTTCTTAGACGTGCAAATGAGGCTCAATTTAGTTTGTGCAAGATTTATAATTCTGAGGCATGCTTACTTGTTATGTCAAAATAAGTGAGCTTAAGATGGAATTTAAGCATTGAATAGATTTTGCTTTTAAATTAAATATATTTTGAGTGAAAGGGAGAGAAGAGGAAGAGAGCATGGCAGTTTCATAATTGTTGGAAATAAATTCCATGATCAAACCCACTTTTCAACTTCAAATAGCAAATTCCATACCAGTTCAGCTGTTAAATTAAAAGATGTGCAGTTTTATTTTGTTTTGGTATATTCAGAAGTTGAACTTCCCATGCTCTGTATGAATACAAGCAATCCGCAAACAAGTTGAGGGGGGAAAAATTCTTAGTAATTATATCTCCATCACCATTCTCAATCCTAAATTCTCAATTTTCTAGTCAGCTTTGTACAAAATTTCTATACAAATTGTACAAGTATTTTACGTTGATTTTTTTTTTAAAAAAAAAAAGCAAAAACTTTATTCTGGGGATAAAGTTATTTCCCCAAAAATATTTTAGGCTCTGAAAGTCAATCTGCTGGGCTAAGAGAATTGATACATTATGCTGATTGCTCACCTCTACCCAAGTCTCATAAATTTCCTTCACTCTCTATAAGCAGATGGCCAGTTCAAGGAGACATGGCAATGATTTTTATTCCCTCCACTAGATTCTGCAGTAAAATAGGCCACTGTTACACCTTCTACCTGACACATACCTAACCTCTTCCACAGCAGCAAGCATTCCCTCTTAAAGTTGGCTGGTTTAATTTAACACATGCACTCCCTCATGCTCTCTCTCTCTCTCTCACACACACACACACAAGTTAACTAAAGTGTGCCCATAAAATCGTCTTCCTTTCCCAATGTAGAAGGTTCCTTAGAGAAAAGGTCGGGTGTCACTGAGGCTCCCTGCCACCACTGAATAGCAGCAGACCAGTGATACCAGAGTCACAAAGGCCTACTCAAGCCTCAAAGGCAGAGCAAGCCCTGGGCCACTTGCTCTCCCTTATTCCTCTTTTTCCCCGCTGGGGCTGGTGTAGCAGAGAGCAGACACAATTGCTGGCTTCTTTGGTGCCTTTCTTCTCTCTTTTCCCATCCCTGCCCACTTGCCCCATTGTCTTCCTTGGACACGCCGTCAGGGCATGACTAAACCTCAGCGGGAAGCCAAGGGAAGCACAGGGTGACCTCTGCCTGCCTCCAAGCTCTGTTGCTTACACTCTTCTCTCTCTCTTCTCTCTCCTCCCCCCCCCCACCCCCGAAGGAGCAAAAACCTTCCTCGGCCAGCCCCCACCCAAACGATGCCCTTCCTTCATCCTTAAGGGCGGCTCGCGACCCGCCCTTAAACACCGGGCACTGTTCGCCATTTCGCAGGCCTCCGGGCACTTTTCCCGGGAAGGTGTGTGTGAAACCGGGACGCCCCGAGCGAGGAACTGAGGAGGCTGCGAGCAGAGGACCAAAGGAAGGATAGCGCGGGGAAGGTTGGGGAAGACGGCGACGACGACCTAGCGCTTTTCCCCAGAGGTTCTGTTAGGCCCGCGAGCCCGCCTTTTTCTGCGCGGCCGCGGGAGCCTCTCGGCTCCAACCTCCTCACAGCAAACAGCCGTCTGATTTTTCCCCTCTCCCCGAGGTAAACCTCTGAGCTCGCGGCCTGCTTTCAGTGTCGGGAGCTACACACACATACACCCCACCACAGCCATAGGCGAGGCGAGGCTTTTCAGGAACCCAACGTGGTGTTGGGCCACTTCACTCGCTGTAATTGGGGGCGGTGAAATGTTTTAATTTATGTAGGCCTGTGGGAGAGGGGAAGGAAAGCTTCAGAACACTGCTTTTCAGGACAAGGCTGGCCGCCCACGCGGGGCAGATAGGTAGGCGCCCTCGCAACCTGTGTGACTCCGGCCCTGCGCCCTCAGCGTCTCTTTCGGTCTTCGGGTATCATTGAGGGATTCAGGAGGCCGCTTATTTCGTTTTTTCCCGCCGCCTACCTTCCCCACCAAAGCCCTGCCGGCTTCCACCACCTTCTCCCTTGAATGCCTTCTCCACCTGCGCTCTTGGAAAGCCAGAGAACTGCCCCAGTTTTCTCTTTTAAGCCTGGCCGGCGCTCTCTTTTTTAAGACAGGGCCGTGAGCACCATTGAGCAGAAGGGGGCGCCAGCCAGCGCAGAACCCGGGATCGGTTGGCCGGGTCTCTGAGGTTGCCTTTGGCTGAAGTCTTGGCTAGAAGGATGGCCAGCCGTCTTCGCCTTCCCTGACAGAAAAACGAGGGGCCATTTCTCTTTCTCCCGCCAAAGCCTGGCTCGCTTTTGTTCCTGCGATAGGCAAAGAAAGGTGACCAAACTCTGGAGACGTTAAGGATGAATTGGCTAACGAGCCCTGGCGGTTCGCAGAATGCCGAAGGGAAGGTTGTAGCACCATTTTTGAGTAACCCCTTTCATTCAAATGCCTACCCTTTTGGTTTGGCCTCTTCATTTTAATTTATTTGCCACCATACGTAGATTAACGGGGTTTGGTCCTACAGTAAAGGGACCCAGGCCAGCCTAAAAGGAGACAAGGCGATCTGCTTGTAAACTGGTTGGGCCACATTCATAACAAAGAAAAAGAGGGAAATTTCTGTCTCCCTCGTGGTGGGAGGGGGCGGGAGAGAAAGAGAGCGACAGAAAGGGCGCCTTTTGGGGAAACGAGATGAAGCCTTGCGGGCTATCTCCGACGAACGCGCCGTAGCCTTCGCAACACAGACTGCGAAATGGGCAAACTACCAGGCGGCGCACGCGCAGTACGTTAAGCGCGGGGCCAAGGGATACTTGTAGCTTTTCCGCCGTGCTCGGAGTGGTGTGGCAGGCGAAGGGCGCAAGGAACCTTCACCAAGGTGGATTGGGGGTTAAAAAGAAAAAGAAAATGGAAGGAAGAAATATTCAGCCACCCATGAACTTCTCTGCTTGAAGGGACCACAAAATAAAAATTAAAAAAGGACAATTCGGAGACGGCCCATTACAGCTCACATGAGCCGCTGTAAACAAATATCGGGACGTTTTTAAAGAGTAGCAATACGCGCTCGCATATTTACCGCGTCTAAACTTTAGGGAAGTTTATCAACATCTTGGCGATGTAGAGAATGAAAGGGGTGCGGGTGAGAAAGAATTGGAGGGGGGAAGTCAAGCTCCCGGTTTCTTTCCTTGAGCACAACAACGACAACAGCAACAAAACTCCCACATTTTGCTTCCGCTTTAACAAAATAATGATTCATTGGGAAAATGGGACATAAATCTTCATTTTGGACGCAATTAAAGTGTTGATTTCATTCATGCCCCTAAGCGGTTCTTGTAATTTGCTCAAATAGCTTTATGTACCAAGCACTCTGAAGCTTTTAGAAACCTATTTTCTCGTTAGACTTGTTGGATTACAATTTTGATTCAACAACAGCCCTCTTCAGCTACAGTCCGTGTTTTCAGCGATATCGACCCCCACCAAACCGCAGCCACCCGCCTTCCAAGGTCTGAAAAGCCACGAGAGACCACTGCCGGCCCACCCATGTATACATGCAGGGAATGAGATCCTGACAAGCAAAATTACAACCGACTTACAAATCTTCCATTGCTCATTGAATACTTTTTTAAAAACGGGCGTTTTATCCAAGACCTTCATAAAAATTTCATGGCCGGGATCAACATCAACACGTTGCTTCTTCTGTCCCATCCTCAGGAACAGACACCAGTCCCCAAAAAGAAGGAGCAGCAAATGAGGGGCACCTTGAACCGAAAAAATCGCCTTAATCAAGCCAACAGCATTCTGATGCCTTCTCAAAACAAGAGCTCTGCCAGCTTTTATTATCCGCAAAACCAAACAAACCAAACAAAAATCTCTCTAGAACTGCAGTCCGGTGGCTTTCAGAAGTCTCCAACACAACAGATCATAAAGAAGGAAGAAAGTTTGGGGTGTGGGGGTGGCGCATTGGAATCTGTTTCTTTTCAAAGGAAGCAGTAATTGCAACTAAACCACCCGCGTTGCCCATTATTGTCACCTTCCTCAAACGCACTCCAGGATGAGGGCCACTAATTGTCATGTTAAGGAGCATTGATTAGTTAATATCACTTCTCCTTTTAAACCAAAATGATACTTTTGTTTTCCTTTCGAAAGAAAACACACCTTTTCCCAGCGAGACAAGAGTTCGGAGAGCCAGGTGAAGTTGGAAGATTCAGACAAATGCCCAGCAGAGATTGCACAGGGCCCACTCTTTAAGACTATTCAGATACCCTTACTAAGGGGAAGCCAAAGAGGCAGAGATGACAGAGTAACCGCAAAATCATTCCCTCACTATCTCTTGCTGATTCTTCTGATTTTATTATTATTTTCCCCCTGCTAAATCCAATAAAGCCCAGTGCCCTTGCAGCAGGCAATCTTCGTACAAAGCAATGCTCACTGAGGTCTAAAAAAGCGTTCAGCCAAGGAAAACTGACAAGACAGGCTAATGAACCGTAGAGACAGGAAGAAAATAGCCAACGTTTGCTAGATTTCAAACCTTCTCTTGTCTTCTTTCCCCAGACCACCAATCTCGGATTTGACTCTTCCTCTTTTTTTCCCCCTCCCACCCCTTTCTAGCATCTCTTTACCCGGAAGCCCCCATGATTCACAAGTAGAGCCTTCTATTGTCATTAAAAAGGGAGTAAATAAAATAAAGACAAAAATTAAAAGCGACAAGGAGCAGGTCAAGTTTGAAGGCAATGCTTTTACAAGCTCATTCCGCCAGGTCGAATCCCAGAGCAAGACTTAATGAAGTAATAATAGCCACATTAGTCAAAAATTTTCATTTCGATGGAAATTTATCCAAAAGGGACTTAATCATATGCAAATAATAAAAGGGGGCGTAGTGACCTGGCAAACGATCTGCATACAGATTTGCACAGCAACTGCGAAGCTGGGGGGTGATCATACCTGATCTGTTAGATTTGCTGATCTCGTTATGTCTTCGCTGTCTGATTTTGATCCGCCTTCTCTATCGTCTATCACCAAATCGATTGGCATTTTCCCTTTCAAACAGCTAATGTACCGGTGGCAGAAATTGTCACACAATTCGTGTACCTGCATTATGACAAAGGTAACAACACCAAAATATAATCAAGGACATGTTAAGTGAAATTGACAAGAGCAATCAATTCCCCTCCCCCCTTGCCTGACATCAAAAGTTCTAAATAGGGGGAAACAGACTGCAATTATCCCCCCGAGATGCATTCAGAATTAAGAAGAACTTTCTTTTTCTGGCAAAATAGAGATATCCCAGAAAATTGACAGTGACAAGATGATTCACAGCCTACAACATATTCAACACCCGTGTTAAATTCATCTGGTCTCAGAGCTGTGACTATTAGTGAGGTAGCCTGCATGGGTGACATTTAAGGTAAACTGTTTAATTTTACCCCGTATAGCATCACAAGCCTTTTCCCAAGGATGTGGACGCAAAAGATCCCTTGCTCCAATTGTACAAAAAGTTGAATGCTCTAAAAGTACGTGAATCCACGACTTCATATTATGAGCTTCTGTAATGTTATTTCCACTGTGAACAGGCCCATATTAACCATTTATTACAAAGCACAAGCATGCCACTTGCTACTGTTAGGGAAAAAAAATGTCTAAAATGGCCCAATTCACCCCCCACCCCCTTTTCTTACATGTATGTATAAATACCATATATATATATATATATATAG